TCCACTTATTGCTGATTTTTCACATATGTTCAGAAATTTTGTTCTCTTAGCTCACTCAGCTCAATCTCTCTGACACATCTCTCTTTCTCTTTGGTATCTGTCTATCGCAGCTCTCTCTCTCTTGGCTCTCTCTCTCTCTCTCTCTCTCTCTCTCTCTCTCTCTCTCTCTCTCTCTAGCTTCGTTCTGTCTCTTTCTCTCCCTATTCGCTCTCTTGCTATCTGTCTCTTTATTCATACTTCCTTTTTTTTTTGTAAATTATTTTTTAGTTGTTATTATTTTTTAAAATAATTTCTCACAATGTCTTATAGTGCAATTATGATGCACCTGACTACCTGTTTTTTAAAGGCACGTTGTTTCTTTCTCCTCTTCTTCTTTTTGAATGAAGTATGGCCTAAACCGTAAACCCATTGATGAGCCGTAGTCAATATACATACAATATAATAGCAATATTAGGCCAATATACATACATTAGAGAGGCAATATTATGGCAATATAATGGCAATACGAACAACAATAGCATCACAATATACATGCAATATGGTGGAAATATGCATACAATATGTATACAATACATAGGCAATATTAGTACAATATACAAGCAATAGGACAGCAATATTAAGTCAATCTACATACAATATACACACATCCATTACAAACTACAATTTAGACATGGAAAATAAATCGCCACCGAACCCTAACAATATTATCCTGCGAAGTAAAAATTATTTATTTCATAAAACTTGAAAATTCAATTGTTATTACATAGTCAACCAATCTTTGCTCTATTACATACATACTTCCTACCTATAATTATAAATAATGGAGAGCTCACAAATTCTACTAATTTGATCTTAACTTCAACAATTTGTTCTTCGTTGTATGAGTTAGCTCTCCCTTCTTGCACATTTTCTAAGCTATTCTATTCTCCTCCCGTGTAACAATATCAGCAACAACAGGTTATCTACAGATCTGAAATTATAACTGCAGATGATTCTCAATTAACAAAGAGGAAAACCATTTTCTTTTATAACTTTGGTTATGAAATATATAACAAAATGCAAAGACCTTTGCTTCTAAAAAAGAGCAAAAGTTTGTCAACCAATTCATAGTAAAAACGAAGAAACTAGTGAACCTAACCAGAGAAATGCTAACCTGCAAAACCAACTCCAATACTTTAACCACAACATTAATACTTGAGATTTTCTTCTCGTGGATTATGATTAGAGGATTTTCCAATTCCTATCAGCACATACACAAGTTTGAAGATAATCAGCATCAAGCAAAAAGGGACTTGAGATGCTGCCCTCTAACAGTTTCAAGACATAGTTATCGTTGAGTCAAACTAAAACTTACACATTTCTGATTGTTCTGGTTGGTGATGAAATAAGGGGATATGTAACCCCTGTCTAGCTTCATTCCCTCAACAACCTCCAACTCATTGTCCAATGTTTCCCCATCCTGCAGAAATTAACATAGTGTGAAGCTTACATGTTTTGGGTATCATTTGGGAATAAAAAACTAAAATAAAATTATTTGCCCTCCAATATATTTCTGTAATAATTTCATAAGACCCATACATACCTCACTTTAAAACAAGAATAAAAAGAAGTTGATATCGTCCAGATTTCAGCCCTTGCAATACGGTAACTACACTAATATGCCTATGACAAAGCTGCTGACTAGAAACAAACATAGGCAAACATATACAATCGTTATATTCATGAAACACAAACTGATATAGAAATAATGTTTATGTGCAGATGCAGAGCGCAAATGAAATTGTGATTAAAGAATTGTACAATAATTGAAAATTTCATGAAACTCAAAACTCAAATCAGAGCTATACATCAAATCAAAGATAATTAAGACTTCAGTTAAGCATAAAAATAAACTGATGAACAAAGAGCAAACAATACTTGTTCTTCCATCATGGAACCAGATATGGACCCTATTGCCCAGCATAAGGTGTTTAAGTTGTTCCAATGCTCAAGGTGTGACAAATATTATCTCCCTCATGATCTACAAGATCAAAATGACACCAATAACAAAAAATAAGTATGAAAACATTCAAGAAAGAAAATAACAAATAATCCAATACGTTTTCTACTATTAAGAAAGAAGCATATCGTAGAAACTGAGTTTCTGGTAAGATTAAAATAAATTTAAAAAGCTT